TGAATCTATCACGCTCTGATTCCTTTTTCATGTTGGTGCAGTTAAAAAGTGATAGTTTTACGTCTGATTTTCAGAGGCACTGAGCACAGAATAAGAAAAAACCAAAGAAACGCCCCATTCTACCTTTCTCGTCCTTCTAAAGCTCTTATAAGAGGTTTAGAACCACTTTCTGTAATAGCTGCCGCTGAAGTGCATGATAGTGAGTCAATCTCTTAGGACACGGAAGGAAAAATCTCACCTACAGCACCGGCCAGAACATTCTAGACGTGGCTGACTCCGGCCAAGGCCACACCTCTGTGGATAAACCTACCCGGCTTCTACTAGGACTTTTGTTGGTCCTCGAAATCTGTCATTTTCTTCCTTTCTCAGATCCACCCTCTGCAGTGCTAGTAAGCACGCATATAAAGTTTTAATCACTCAAACACCTTAAATAGTTTTAATGGCTTTAAAAGTCGTCTAAACGCTTTGAGGGAAGATATGGTTTCTGTTACACACTCTCTATAGGATCTAGCATCTTGTGAACGCTTAAAAAGTGGCTTCAACAGCTATTATTTCCATGGACTATTTCCTAGTCCAGAGCTGGAAGGCTATTCTGAGGCCAGACTTTTAAACTAGGAAACATCCTGTCCCTTCCCATGCTAAATAACAGAGGGGCCAGGAAGTATTAACATTATCATGTCTCATGACTCCAAGCATCTGAACATATATTATTTAAATGATAAATCTAGATGTGGTATACACACACACACACACACACACACACACACACACACAATGGAGTATTACTCAGCCATAAAAAAGAATGAAATAATGCCATTTGCAGCAACATGGATGGACCTAGAGATTATCATACTAAGTGAAATAAGTCAGAAAGAGAAAGACAAATACATGATATCACTTATATGTGGAATCTAAAATATGACACAAATGAACCTATCTATGAAACAGAAACAAACTCACAGACATAGAGAACAGATTTGTGGTTGCTGTGGGGGAGGGGAGGTGGAAGAGGGAAGGACTGGGAGTTTGGGGTTAGCAGATGCAAACTATTACATAGAGAATGGGTAAACAACAAGGTCCTACTGTATAGCACAGGGAACTATATTCAATATCCTGTGATAAACCATAATGGAAAGGAATATGAAAAAGGATATATATATGTATAACTGAATCACCTTGCTGTACAGCAGAAATTAACACAACATTGTAAATCACCTGTATTTCAATAAAATAAATTTTTTAAAAATGATAAATCTAGACACTTCCATTTCAACATGGAAGTTGAAATAAATATGGAACTTGAGGGAAGTTAAACCGAAACATTAAAAAATTCAATATCAAGGAGAATTATATTACAGTAAGTACTTTAAGGAACTGAGGAACCAGTTCCCAGTATTTGGACAGGAACATTGCCGAACAACACCTGATATGTAATAAAGAAATTGGTTTATATCAGTAGCTAGGGGTTGTATTTGCCTGAGAGCTGTGTGGTTTTTTGGTTTTTTTTTTTTTTTTTTTTTTTAACAGCATTTCACAGCTAGATGTAATGGAGAAGTAACACTAAAATAACGACTTGCACTTGCATTACCGGTGTTCAAGGTGCTATCACATGCTTGGGCACATTTGATTGTCACAATAATCATGTTGGCTTGCAGGAAAGATGTGGCTCGGAAAGCCTCATGAATCTCCTTCAGGAAGGAGGGAGTCAGAGCCCTGAGATGCTGAGCAGCCCAGAAATGGTCAACAGCCCTGTGTGGGCGGTTCAAGGGTGCTAGCCTGAGGTGGGAGACCAGCTTTCAGACCTGGTGAGGACTTAGAAACTACGTGGGCAACCTGGGTGAGACGCTGAGGTGTATCTCTGTCCTCGGTGTCTTCAGGGTGTTTCCTAACTTTACAATCTATCATTCCATGTGGTTAAAAACAGTTCACCTGCCCCCTGCATGCAGCAAAGCATTTCTCCAATATTGAGAAGATGACTGTCCGAAATATTTTCATCTATGATCCAGAGGTCCTTTGGAATCGTGCAGATGCTCGAGAAAATTACTATTTTTAAAAAAGCAAATTATTAGGACCTTTGAATATGTGGTAGTGGCAAATCATGGAGGTTCCTATTAATAAAGTTTGCAGAAATCAACTCTTTCTGTACCTTTCAAGTCCCTTTTAGGAGATCTGTGGCTCATCCATTATCGGAGCTGTGTGATGTCTGTGCCTCTAGTTCTGTCACAGGAGGTGAGCTTCTCTGAGCCTGTCCCTTCAGAGGCACATGAAGTCTCCCTGGCTGCTCCCTGATGAGTTTGGAGAACAGTTTTCCACCCCCAGCTTCCCAGAGGAGGGAGAGACTAGTGAGCATATTTCTAATTCCAACAGGTCAATCTGTACCTCCTATCTGAATCACCAGGTGGGCAGGCTTGCACACACACTCTGTGACACCTCCCAGGCTCAGATGCCTGCATAAGCAGGTAGGACTCTTCATTAGTTACAAGAAACTATTAATCATGTTTCCATTTGGTCTCTTCAAAGACACCTCCTGAGCTGTATCCTTTCAGTCCAGTTTCATTCCTCACCTTGTAGCCAAAGAGTTATTTGTACAGGCAGCTTCCTCTCTTCGTTACCCCATCCTGGCCAGGGGCACAAAGATGCCACCCATGGTCCATTGAAGAAATCCCCACCGGATGATTCGCCTAGTTCAGCATGGACAGGCTTGACTACTGGTGAGGAAGGGCAGAAATATTCTCTCTGCAGCCCCTCCCCAGGCCTAAACTGCATGGCCACTGCCTCGAGCAGCTTTGCAAAATGGAAACAGCACAGACAGACACACACACACCGCCACACACAGACATCTACACCCTGTGCGGAATTCCAGATGCCAGAACCGAAAAGGATTCCCTTTCATCCAGCAGCCTTCTGATTGCAGAGGAGTGTCTCTGAGCCGTGACCCGCTGTTTCCCTGCCAACTGAGGCCTCAAAATAAACAGGAATCTGCTCAGACAGGCTAGTAGTCCATTCAGCTCAGCCATTTGCCCCAAGACAAACCACGCTAAAATAACACCCAGGAGAGCTGCCACTGCCGTCTGCTGTCTCTGCCTCCCTTCCCTGCTGGCCACCAGCTCTGTGCCCCTGGGCCTGCCGCTGGCTGCCCAGGGTTGGGGGCCCTTAGAGCTTCGCGTGCATCCCTGTGGGCGGGGTCGCTAAGGCAGGTCCCCTCTGCAGATCAACGAGGCCAGAGAGAGACCTAGAGGCTGCATTATTAGTCCCCCGCCTGCCTCCCTGCTTCCCGCACAGCCCTGTGGGACTGGGAGCCAGCTCTGTGGCACGGTGTCTGCAGGCGGACCAGCAACTTGATGTACATGCCACGGCCCGTCCCCTCTCCCCATACAGAGCCGCAGCCACCGGGAGGTTCAGAGAGTCGGCTTGGGGCTGCTGGAGAAGCAGCTGCAGCGCGGTGACAGTGACACCACAGAGCGGACGAGACCAAGTGGATCCCCTTTCCCTTCGACCGGAGAGAGGAGCAGCCCTCAGCCTGCAAGCTGTTCAGGTAAGAATCAGGGTTTCTGTTCTGAGCAGGTTATAGTATATCCAGAGCTGAGGTGGAGAGAGAGAGAGAGAGAGAGAGAGCAAGAGAGAGAGAGAGAGAGAGAGAGAGAGAGAGAGAGAGAGAGT